TTTATGTTACAGCTGCCTGCTGTTCTATTACAAAAAAACATCTTGAGAAACAGGAGGGAGGAGCCACCCACTGCCAATATATTACTTGGCGAGAGGCAGGAACACAGCTTACACCTCAGTGTAAACACATAAATACACATCTCTTGAAGACTAACACTTTCTAAGGAGATATATTACTATATCAGCTCACTGGAGGCCCCAGTGTGCCACACTGCCCACCCCTACCCGCTGCCCCACCCCGGGCTCAGAGAGTAACTGGTGGGAGGCAGGGAGATAAATCAGACCTCCCAAGACGTTGTCTTAGTGCTCTTATCCTTTACCCCTAGGTAGCAAGGCTAGTGTAAACCACAGTCAACATATCACTTCGGCCATACGCCTATGGCTCTGTAGCTGACCTGCAGGTTAATGGAAACGTTGTCAGGCTTTAATATCCAGTCAGCCTTACAGAAAAAATGAAACTGAAGAGGAGAGAAGAGGAACAGAGAGCATCAAAACAAGACAGTTGCGTTACTATATTGTGGATGTGAAGGTTCTTAAAGCCCTTTCAATATTTAGGCAGCAGGGCCCACATGGCTTCACAAAGGACCTAGTAGCGCAAGATAAAAAATGAGAGCATGAGGAGATAATTAAAGCACCATGTGCACTAAAATTTTTAGCAGGGGGGATGGAATCAGAGAGACTGACAAAGATGAGTGGAGACAGATACAAAGAGAGGGAGGGACAGGGAGACAAAGAGGAGGAGAGTAAAAGTGAAAGGGGAGCGAGCAGACACGCCGTTTGTATTTTACGTGGCAACTTTAAATTGTTAATGGTGGTGAGTGAAGGAGAATCTGATGCACGAATCACAAACAATGAAGACACCTGCCAACATTCATCAGCTCTCCACCTCTGCCAGTCTGTTCTGTACAAAGACAAGCTCCTATACAGTCTACACCACTGAAACCTCTATCCTCTTTCTATCTATTAATTTATCTATTTATCTATCAATCTCTTTTCATCTGGACAAACTGTTCAAGCACAGCTAATTAACTTTCAAGGACTTTAATCAAACATAATAAAGAGAGAAAGGTCAAGCAACAATCACTGACATCACTGATCAGATTAATGTGGAGAAGGTGTGTAATCAGTAAAGTGTGTGTGTGTGTGTGTGTGTGTGTGTGTGTGTGTGTGTGTGTGTGTGTGTGTGTGTGTGTGTGTGTGTGTAGCATTACTCATGCTATGGGGACCATAACCTGTTAACATACTTACGTGGACTTGTCTTCCATATAGGGCCAAATGTGAGCCCCCGTAATGAGGTGTAAAGTGTGTGTGTGTGTGTGTGTAGCATTACTCATGCTATGGGGACCATAACCTGTTAACATACTTACGTGGACTTGTCTTCCATATAGGGCCAAATGTGAGCCCCCGTAATGAGGTGTAAAGAGGCAAGCAGGTGTCGGATAGTGGGAGGTAAAAGGTTGTCATTATCTCCAGTGTAAATGCTTTAGTCTCCTCCTATCACCATCACGCCTCATCTTCTCCTCCGTTCACTCACAGCCGACAATAAATTATGGATGCTTATTAGAAAAGGGCAATATTCAGCATCCAAAATAAACTCGGCACCAAGAGACATAGACGAGACACAAACAAACAAAAAGTGCTGATGTGGGGAGAGGAGGCAGTGGAAGTCAGTGGGGAGTCAGTGGCCAGGCCGGTTAAACCTGCAGTGATCTCTTTTCTAGGTCAGCCCCTTTCAACACATGAGCGGGGCGGGCTAATGTACCGCAGCGAGTGAAGCTCCACATTAAGACGATGTTGGACGTTTGACTACACACACAGACAGACTGCAAATAAAAAACTTGTAATGCATCCCAGGCCTTTCAGCCTTCCTTGGGCAACATCTTCAAAGTGATGTTGAATTTCTGTGCAATTTAGGCATATTAACTTTTTTCACTTTCTGCATTTAGTGCTTTGTTCTGTGGCCAGTGGCAAGGCCTCGACTAAAAGCTCAATCCTTCTATAGAAAAAAAAAAACCTGAAGCTAAATCATTGATTTCAGTTCATTAATTTTCCTGTTAACAAGCACATAATGAAGCATCATATTGCTGGCTAACGCGGCTCAGATTCCTTCTACAGCACCAGCAAAGTGTTCTGTGTGACTTTGTCAAGCAATCAATAATTTGGTGTCCCTGTGAACTCTGCTGCTTGCACAGAGTGTGATGTGACGCACACCGACACAAAGTTGAAGAGACACTGGTACATTTCAGATGATGAGTCACGTCCTGTGAAATCTCCCCCTTAATCCTTAAAAATGTTAAGAGTCGGTGCATGTGATTGCCACATCATGTTTGTAAAGTTTAGGATTACAGTATATCCAGATTAAATGAAATTTATATACGCAGGCAGGGCTGTTTGAATTCAGTGTGTTGAGATGCATGTAAAAGGCTTATCCCCCCCAAAAAAATCATAGTGGAGGAGAGGAGAGGACTTTACTAAACAACCTGCTTTGCAAAGATTGCTGTGGCAAACACACATAGCATGCAGCATTTGTATTTTTCTGTTTAGTAAAGTACTGCACTTCCTCGGTGCACCTCTCTGTCCAATTGCCGTTTGAAGGACAGGTGTTACACGCTCTTTGACAGCCAATCAAAATTCACAGACACACAGTCATTACCAAACTGCTGCAAGAGAAACACTGACTGATCCACAAGTCCCTGCTGACCCAGCAAACTGTTGCAGTGGGAAGAAACGCGTGTCCGCCGCACAGACATGCACCGCTGCATGCACGAGCACCACACACTCGCTTCACACTCATGCATGCATTTGGCACATCAACTCACACTCACTTATACAAGCTTAAACACCTGCCCGGACAGACTCACAGGCTTGAGCTAACGGAAACGCACACACAAACACACACATCCAAACACACCCTAGAGAAGTCTACGGTAAATGAACCTCACAAGCCATCCAAAGCGCTGACATCAATCAGGCACGCTTTCACCGTTCAGCTCCCGATGGACGGAGTCGCATCTGTCTGCCACAGGAAGTGCTAAACAATTCTGAAGTGAGGGGAAACCATTTTATGCTTATCTGCATACACAGCGAGCGAGCAAGCGTCCTTAACTCGTCGGCTCTCTCTCTCCGATCATCCTAACCCTTGTTGTTTACTACGATTGTGCAAATTGTGCAACGATTTGTTCTTTCAGAATGACTCTTTTTTAGCGAGAATGATTTGCAGAGATGAAATAGTTGCTACACAGTTACGCACAGCTGAGCACCACCACTCGGTCCACCTGGGAGTGCAGGGCCTGTGAACGCCGGCCAGTGCGATTCCCACAAAGCTTAGGGACTTCTGCTCCTTCAGCAGAGGTTGAAAAACACAGGGGAAAAAACGTTCCCAAAAAACAACAAATATCCTTGTAGCCTCTATGACTGTCGCCGCCTGTGTAACTGTCTGCTTCAACCCAGTGCATAATTGTGACAGAGGTCCCAGGAGGCACACATGCACAAACTCTTTGTGGCAATCAGCATATCACCCTGCAGAGGAGCCGAAACTGTTTCATACACTTATTATGAAAATATAAATGGGGACATGAATGCACAAGGGCAGAGTGGAGATGTGAGCCTTCTGCAGGACGGGGGAACTAGATCAGAAAAGTCACTCGATGAGGAGACGACTGATGGAAAAACTAAGACACATTCAATAAAAGTGGCCACTGACTTCTTAATAATATATCTTACATATGTGTACTCTTTATATAATCTATTTGCAACACATACATATAATTCATTGAAGCCAAAGACAGTATTAAAACCAATTAATGGTAAATCCTAGCTTTCTCAAATTAGGTATGGGCTACACCTACTGGAAACAAATGATGCCAGATATTTCACATAAGTCTTTTTTGTGAGGCCATGTTAGATTGTTTTTATGAAACAATAGAACGATAGCAGAAAAAGATAGTAGCAAAAAACACTTTCACTGTCCACAAAGCATTTTTTAAAGGGGATTGAGCTTATCATTTAAACAGTGTCAAAAATAAGTAAAGATATACGAGCAGTTCCTGTGAGATAATTTCCTCTAACACTGACAGGTCAGCACCAGTGTGAAGATTCAGAGCGGTACAAGCCCGACTAGGCAGCAAAGACTTGTACTTGGGCCTGCATGCTTCGGCAAACGACAAGATTGTCAGGCTGGGTGTGACGGCAGACTGTGGGATTGCTTATGACAACAGCACTCTACGCTGCTATGACTAAACAGACCTTGTTTTCGATGGCTGCCACATGCCTTCAAACGTCAGAATCAGAGGTATCAGAGCTGACAGTTCGGTTTGTGTGTTTGCCTTGCCCGGGGGGACGGGGGTGAGGGGGGGGATGCATATCTGTCCGGGTGCCTGTGGCTGAAGAAACTGAGCCTTTTGTTGTACAGTGAGACAGCCCTTAAGAGGGGACGAGTCTCCACTTCATCCTCAAAAGCACAGTGTGACTGTCCTGTTTCACCCGTCAAAAGAGGAGCCAGGTCTCAGAGAGTCTTATCCTCCCTCCATCCAATAATAACTATAAACCTTCAACAGTAAAGGTGTCATCACATTCTGTGTTACTAAGCCCTAATCTATACTCTATACCCTCTAATGTGGATTTTACCATCATAATTCATCAAAAGTGGAATTTACCAGAGCAGGGTTTCCCCCTCCACTTCACAGCTGGTAGTTTTCCCAGCAGCCTCCTGTGTCATCTAAGAACTAATATCTCTCTTTCAAGTTCATTTACTGCCGATCTCCCTGAAGCTATTTCTTGCAGTTGTTTAAATGCCAGTTAGTATTATGATAGTACTGCCTCCTAATAGTGAGTCATGAGGCGGACAATGTGCTGCGCAGAGAAAGCCCTTTAATTAAGGTTATGGACTAATAATTGTACTAATTAACATCCTGCTGCAACAGGGGCTCAGTCAGCCTGTGCTAATAAAGCGTGCATTGATACATTCATGGGAATACATTTGTAAAATATCACGTTCCTACCGTAAACTCCTTGGCCCCAGGCGAGAGGACAGACACTAGAAAATAACAAAATCCAGAGAAGCTCCATGTTCAGCTCAGCTCCGTCATAACCTGAAGAAGAGAGGAGAGGAGGGGGAGAGGTAAGAAGAGAGTGGAGGCACACTGGAGGACGACCCTGCAAAATACATGTGACAAACAAGAGGCGACAGCTGAGTGATTGTTATCGAGGAGGAAGAGGAGACACTTTCAATTGTGTTCTCGTGTTCAGCCATGTCTCCTGCAAGACCCTTAAACCCGTGAAAATAATATTACAGAGCAATTTGGCCCCAGCCAGTCACACAGCCCGTACCATACCGTAATTCAATCACAAATCGTGGATTATAAGGAGTTTACTCGCAGCTCGACGCGTGTGCGTAATGAAGATTGGAGATTGACAGGATTGTCCGCTGTTTCACTTCCACTGGAGCACACAGGTAGGCAGGTGTGCAGAGGACGGGGGGGGGGGAGGTAACACATCCACAGAGGATCAGCTACAAGTGGGGGGTCATGCACTTTGGACCTCAGACACCCACACACACGCAGACTGACACTCCTGCAGATCAATATAATTATTCCAACCGTGTCCCTACAGTGGCTGTAAGGTGATGGGCCGTTCTATTATAAATGGTTACACTGTTTCGTTTGTTGCTGTTGTTGTAAAATAAATGTGAGGTGATTTATATGAGAATGATCTGCCTATGGAAAAACATGAAGAGGAATATAAGGATGACAACCTCTGACATCTGGCCTTGATTTGTGTATATGTTTAAAAAAAAAAGAGAGAGTAGGCTGTAGCTGGTGCGAACGAAAGAGTGCGTGAACCCACAATTTGAGTTCGGAGAATACTGATTACAGCAAGGATGGTTAAACTTGGATAAATGAGTAACATTAAATATTTTTGGGATGAGCTCAAACACACATTTCATTCTTAAATATTCACACAAGCGAGATGAAAAGTAATTAATATAAGTCTGAAAAAATAAAGAATATATTATCTGTGCAGGCATCTGATCCCGCCCGCGTCTACCTTCTCTCAGAGGTGCCGTCCTTTGGGTCAGCCTGCTACCCGGCGCTGCGTGCACTCCTCCCCGGCTGCAGCGAAGAGGATTCCTCCGCTCTCCCGCTCCACCAGCCCGAAGCTCCCAGTCTCTCCACACAATGTCTAATAAAAGTTATATATCCCGCTCCAGTGGGCGTCTGGTGTGAGCTTTACTATTCCCGGGGAGTGATGATCGGGTATGGAGACTCCTCAGATAATCTCTTCGGTGCGTTAAACTTTTTGGGGATTTTTACGCACAGACTGGCGGCCACGGCGCGAGTCCCCTCTTTTCCAAAAATAAATAACACCACTTTCCCTGCGCAAAAAAAAAAACTCAAGCAGGGCTAGTTGGGCAAAATCCTGTAAAAGCCAGTCTCCTCTGATGTGGATTATTTACTCTCAAAGGCGTGGTTGAAGTGGGGTTTTTACTCTGACAGTCCAGTGAAGCCCCTCTAACACAATCATGCGCTCTGAGGATGAGCTCCTGCTCCGCTCGGTCAATCAGCGCTGTGTCTGTGGACTCCAGGAGATGCTGGCCAAGTGGAATATGTGCGCAGACTGAGAACGACCGCCCCTGTCTGTGAAGAGGAGGGGGGAGGAGGGATGGAGGGATGGAGAGGGAGGGAGAGAGAGAGAGAGAGAGAGAGAGAGGGAGGGAGGACAGAGGGCTCTACACATAGATGCGCTCAAGCTTCACGGCTCCGTACTGAACAGGTTGTCAAAAGAACAGCGTTGCTCTCCTCCTCCTCTCATTCTCTCTCTTTCTTCTTCCCCTCCTGTTCTCTCATTCGTTCCAAAACAGGGTTTCAAGCCTTTTGGGCTCCACACACAAGATGCATTTTATTATAAGAGCAGGAAGATGGAAGGATTTTTTTTGTTTATAGTGTTTCTTTTTCTGGTGGCGACCGTTTGATGGAGGTGTTCCAGCTGCGGAGCCACCACACAGTCGTCGCTGCCAATTAGAGAGTGAAAGGTGCTAAGAAAGTTTGTGGCCTAATGGAGAGGCCCCTTAACAGCACCACCCCGCCCCTGTCTGGACCAATTATTTATGACAGCAAGAATAAACTGACAGCTCAACAACCCCCAGTTCTCTCTCTCTCACTCACACACACACACACACAGATTTCGAGCCCACACATTTACACTATACACTTGCACCGGCACTCTCCTCACGCTCTCATCTCCACTCTTTTGTCGTGGGATTTTGCATTTCTCAATGTGGCCACATGGGGGGAGTGTTTCAGCTCATCACCACTAAGATGCACGTGTGTGTGTGTCTGTGTGTGTGTGTGTGTGTG